TTTTTTTTTTTTTTTTTTTTTTTAAAGTCTTTCATTGAAAGGAACATGATGTGCTAGGGGCACTTGTATCAGTGTGCCAAAGAATACACAATAATATATTTTAAATGCTGTAAGTCAGCCAGTCAGATACGGGCTTTGCTTGACTGATGCATAAAAATCCTAATGATAAAAACCAAGGGGAAGACAGAGGTTTTCTTTGGAGTAAAAAACCAGGAGGCCGTACATTTCCACCCATGTGTTTTGGTTTTCTCTGGTTTTGTGTTTTAGCTATTCATCAAGTCAGCCCAAGCATAGCTTTCAAACGTTAGACCATGAGCAATTGTTGGTCTGCTTTACCACTGTCCGTCCCAGAGTCTGACAATATCTATATCCTTAATCGTATGGTATAATAGAAATAAGGGCATTGGGAATAAATGTCTGAGCCTCACTGCAGTGTTTTCTTTTTAAAGTAATAAATTTTGTCTCAGTGTATCTGGAGTAGGCAACTGCTGTGTAGTGACAGCTTTCTATTCCACTGACATTATCTGCTTAAAAAATATTACAAATATTTTGCCGCTGTATTGCGGTTTATCTTTTGGCTGAGGCTGGTTCACTTGATGTCACAATCTTATTTTCCTGTGCTAACACTGACACTAGATGAAGCAAATTAGTTTATTATAATGAAAACTTGAGGGGGCTTCCTGTTTATGAAGAAATAACCCGACTGGAGGCAGAATAAATTCCAAGGCTGCAGGCCAAGTCTGAACAGCAAATAAACTCTGAGGACGAAGTGTTTATTGGCTGAGGTTTGATTACTCCTGAGTTTACGTGAAGCATCCTCAGATTATTATTGCTCTGAAATTGTTAGATATTAAAAGTTTAAATGAAAGAGAAGTGAAGACATAATGAGATGACAAAAGTGCTGAAGGCAAATTTAGGAAGTTTAAAAACCGAATAACCCCTTGGGCTTGTTTTTTGCATCTCCCGTCATCTGCCTTTCCTTCCCTCCTGTTTCCTCTTTTCCTCTCAGTCCCTATGGCTTTTCCCAGAATAACTACACTGTATTTTACTTTACGTTGTTTTTCTATTTAAGGACCCCGTTCTGCAATCACATCCGCATGGGTGGACTGCTGTAGGACTCAAACTAGGCAGAAGGATTTGCAGACATAAATCAATCTGTAAGGTTTTGGTTCACATCAGGTAGGGAGACCTGCTCCAGTATAAACATACAATGAACCCCCAGATATTTGCCAGTTATTCTGCAGGGGAAGATCAGAAATTTGGGAGTAAGGCAGGACATTCACCAAAGTGCTGTTAATGTTTTAAAGGCAAAGCTCCTTCCAGCTACTTAGCATCCTTTCTAAAACTTTTTTTATGTGAGACTTTGGATTTTCTCTCTTTCAGCCAAGGGGAAGTAAAACCTGACAACTTTGTTTTTAGTAAACAGTTTCAAAATCCTCAGGAGGGGCAGAGATCAGAGCAGAGGGATTGTGGTTGGCCATTGTGAGCAGAGGGAAATTTGAATATTCATATTGCAGATACTGAGAAAGGGCTACCTTTGCATTGTGAACAGGAAGGATTGGGTTGTGCTGAGAAGAGGGATTTCCATAAAGTGCTCTTATGAAAGAGTGTACATTGTTTCTGGAAGC